GTCTCTCCCTGCTTAGGTTTCATAACTATCTTATGAAGGAAAGTGGTGACTCAGTTAAATTAAACTAATTCAAAATTACTAGCATCAAAGAGCCTTTGGGTTAAAGATCCCCCATCAGTGCCAGTATGTGATTGATTTCAGGTTCCCACTACTGCCATTATGTATAATAGCCTTATGTAAGTATTGCTTTGTCTGGTGACGGTTTTGCTCACAAATGGATATGCCTGCCAGGTTTTGCAAGCTGTCAAACTGACTGGATCTGCATAGGGTTTGGTCACCATGTCTAGTATTTGGAGCCCAAAGAACAACCTTGGGCTCAGACTGCTTGTCTGATACCTTGCATGGACGTTGCTGTGCATATGAAGTCAGAATGACTTAACAGCGTCTTCCTGATCCTATCCTTGCACGTGTTGCTCTGAAACTCGATGTCAGCTGTTGGGGCTCTTGCTTCTAGTTGAATCTCTTCAAGTATACCATGACGAGAAAATAAGAAGTTCAGACTCAGCAAAAGAATAACCAAGCTACGTTGGCTTTACCTTCAAGCAGTTCAGATCTTTGTAAATAATGACAGTCGTGATGACAATTTCTTTAGCCTGAGCTGAGCTTTTCTCTGAATTGGTGTCTTACAGGTAGTGCAGATCTGAGCTTTTCTGTATGTCTTGTGAACTGCACTTCTAGTTTGATGCAGTGTTCTCCCAGCCACTCTGACAATTCCCATGTGTTGTTTAAGTTCAAATAATTTTAATCTTTACCATGGAAAATACATTTAAATCCCTTTCCTAGCCGACAGGTCACACCAAAACTTCCCTCCCTCCTTAACAGCAAGAAAAAAATTCATATTCAAAGCCCTTAAAACCCACCTCTGTTTGCCTTGAATGTTTTGCACAGTAGACTATGAGAATGTTCCTGATCAGCTTGAAGGCCAGCTACTTCTTCCATGTGTTTAATTTGTACTTGCACACATTACTTGTGCTGTCCCCTGTGTTTTGCGAAGAGCTCCTTAAACATCTGCAAATGCACATGCTTAACTGCCTTAAGATCTGTAATTAAAACCCTCCTTTGCAGTGAAGCCTGCAGTCACTGTGAGAATGGCCAAAGAGGTGAGCTTTGGACACCGCCCCTTCTGATTGCCTTTTCTCTTACTTATGAAATCTGCTCTCCCTGGGGTAAAGAGTGTCTTTCATTCTGATTTGTGTATTCAGTGCCTGTCTGTGCATGATCTCTTCCATGCATGGTATATGTGTAACACAAACTGAAGATGAAACTGTATTAAACATCAGGTAGTGTCATTTGTATGATTATCCCAGATTCAGGAGTTTTCCACTGCTGCCTGCAGTTGTGCACTTGGTAAAAGTAACCCAGCCAACTCTGGCAGTGCAGTGGAGGAATCGGACCCTGTCAGAAAATTTCAGAAGAACCTTGAGGCTTGTTGCCTGCATCAGCTGCATGCCAAGTATACTTGCTGTAGTGGTGCTCTCTGGAAAAACCTCTCTTGTAGACAGAAAATTGCATTATCAGACCCCACACTGGGCTGTGCAGTATGTGACTGCTTTATCCCTAGGGTAGACTTGGTGTCTTGCGTTTGGGTTCCGGGCACCAGAAGAGTGACCCAGCACTGTTGTTTCTATTATCAATCCTTTGGGATTACATTGCTTAGCCTTGTAGTGGTGGGCTGCTAGCAACCCCTAAAACACCTTTGATAATAGGTAAAAGTAAAGAGTGAAGGTAGTCCTGTGACTGAGATTAACGCATTACTTGTAATGATCAAAAAATACAAAGCATAAAAGTAAGAGAATTATGCCTACCTGTAACTTAGTTCTGTTTTTGAAGGCTCTCTTTAATGTGGCTAAGCTATGAGGTCATGATAAATATCCAGGCCTTTGAGAGGAGCCTTGCCCTGCATATTCCTTTCACAGAAAAGTTAAGGTTGGAAGGGACCTCTGGAGGTCATCTTGTCCAGCATCCCACTTGAAGCAAGACTGTTGCCAACACTAGATCAAACCAGCCATTGCTTTGTCTCGCTGGATCTTGAAACCCACAAGGTTGGAAATTGTGCATCCTCTTGGGACAGCCTGATTTATTTAGAAGAAAACTAGTGAAAACTTTTTTTCTTAATGCTTGACCTGAGCCTCCTAAGCTGCAATTTGTGGCCATAGTCCTTGTCAGATCTCCCATTGCTGAGAAGAATTCTGATATCTGGCATTTTTAATTCCTTTTCACAGAGCAATTCCAGTTACTTGTGTTGTTCAAGCCTTTTACTGAACTTTCTAAGGCATGTGCCAAAAGAAGCATTTACAATACAAATGCCTTGGCTTCAATTTCCAGTGTAGCTCTGGTATTTTATCAACACTAAACATGATGTGCAGACTTGACAGAAAATGGTTTGAGCAGACAGTACCTAGAGTGCAGTGGCCTTTTCCATGCATGCAGCCTTGTGTGAGGACCCTGTTACAGCGTGATACTTTATCCTTCCTGCCTGCCTTCATAAGACCAGAGCCAAGGAGAAATCTTCCAGATTTCTTATTATATCTGCTCTTTATGTCCTAAACCTTTTGTTTGAAGGACCTTTACCTCAGTCTTTTGACAGACCCTGTTGGGATTCTTGGTGTGTCCAGTCTGCCTGATGGTACTGCTGGGTTGGTGCCTTTTGGGGGGAATTTGTCGCTGAGAATCGCCCAAGGCTGGTGGACCTGGGACTGCTATGGGGTGCCACGGCCCTAACGAGCTCCCTGCTCCCAGCTTATCAGCAAGTATCATGGAAGCCCTGAGAGCTCCACAGACCTGAGCTTCAGCAACATTGATGAAAAGCCACTGCTTTTGGCAGCAGAGAAGCGGGACTGTTGGCTGTGCACAGCTCAGGAACCTTCTGCCTGCTGGGAAGCTCCCGTGATATTTCAGTGCCCATCTGACCAGTATTGCCAAAGCTACTAGCAGGCTATAGATTTCCCACAGACTGGGATGCAATCACAAAAGGGTTTTTGTTTCATTTGGATTGTATCAAAAACTAAGCCCAAACAAGAATTGCAAATTGCTCATCACTTCGTGGCCCTCTGTCTTTGCTGATGCCTCCCCCAAACACAGTTAGCAATTAATTATCAAATGTGTTTTTTGTCGAAATCCACCAGGTGGCACAGTTCATCTGGTTTGCCGAAATAAGGAGCGGGCTGAGGTTGCCAAAGGAGAAATAGTGACAGAAACGGGCAATCAGGTGAGTTGTTTCTCAGTCTTTTGTTTACTCTTAGAAAGATTGTTAATACTAAAGACCTCAGAGGCCTTGAGATGTTCTGTTTCGTCATTTTGCTGTTGTGTTTTTAATAGTATTTTCATATGGACATGGAAACATCTAGTAGTTTATCATCCATAGGGTTTGAAGTGATTTAATTTCACTAGGTGATGTTTTCTGTGATTAATAACAACACCAGCAGCATGCTGTTTTATTTAATGTTTGCTGTCGATATGTTTTGTTATGTCTTACTTGCTATTCCTAACTATGTGGCTGAGGCTTTTAAAAGTTAATGCATTACAACTCTCTTGCAACAACATTTGAGTTTACAGCATTGGAGTTGAAGGTTTTATGTGTCTGAATAACATGCTCTTGATTTGCCAAGATTGGCTGCTCTGTGAGGTCCTCTGTGTTGTCCTAGCTCCATGCTCCATAGACTTCTCCATCTCCTTTTCTTATAGTATCTCTTCCTTACCTCCTCCCTTCTGTTACAGATTTTTTTGCTTCTGGATATATCACTCACAGTACACCCCTGTAGCTGTCACTACTTTTTGCTAATTATTCAGGAGGGTGTGCTTATGGAGAAGTACAATTGTTGTCTTTCTATCTTGGTGTACTGGTTTTGGCTGGGATGGAGTTAATTTTCTTCATAGCAGCTCCTATGGTGCTATGTTTTGGACTTGTGACCAAAACAGTGTTGACAACCCATGTTTTAGTTATTGCTGAACAGTGCTCACATAGCATCAAGACATTTTCTGGTTCTTACGCTGCCCCACCTGTGAGCAGACCGAGGGTGCACAAGAAGTTAGGAGGGGACACACTGGGACAGCTGACCCCAGCTGACCAAAGGAATATCCCATATCACATGATGTCGTGCTCAGCAATAAAAGCTGGGGGAAGAAGGAGGGAAGGGGGGACATTCGCAGTTATGGCGTTTGGCTTTCCAAATCACTGTTGCACGTGATGAAGCCCTGCTTTCCTGGAGATCGCTAAACGCCTGCCTGACAATGGGAAGTAGTGAATCAATTCCTTATTTTGCTTTGTTTGCCCACACAGCTCTGCTACACTTAATAAACTGCTTTTATCTCAACCCACAAGTTTTGTCTGTTTTACTCTTCTGATTCTCTTCCCCATCCCACTGGGAGGGGAGTGAGCGAGTGGTTGTGTGGGGCTTAACTGCCTACTGGGGTTAACCCACAACACTTGGATGGAGAGCTATCTTCATTTTAAATAATGACTTGGCTCTTGAACACAGTATTTTCATTCCAGTAATAGTTTTTAATGTGGATCAAAAATTCTGAAGACTTTTTATGGTTAGAGATACCATATTGACTAAATTTCTGCTCTTTGGTTTCAGCTCCCTGGTGTGACACAACCAGCATTACACTTCAGTTCTTTAATGGAGGTGAATTAGATCAGTCCTTATGTAGAAATAAATACTTTCCAGCTGTCTATAACTGCGTAATCCCATGGCTATAGTAAGACCGGTGATTATCTGTGTTACTTCCTTTTCTAACTGCAGTCAGACAGCCTGGGAAGAGGGGTGAGTTCGATGACCCCTGAAGGTTCCTTCATGTTCTGTTTTCTGTCATTTGGTGAAACAAAACTTGAGGCAAATAATGTTCTTCCTCCTAAAAGCAGCACAATCACTGCATTCCCACTTTTTGGTAGGCTGCAAAACTGTCTAGAAAACTAGAAACTAGATTAGTTGCTCTAGTCATGAAAGAGTATGCGGGCACTGCAGAACTTGTGTGTGGCCCTGGGGACATGGCACTTGTACAGAAAGCAGCATTCAGTGAAGTGTTAGACGAGCTGTACAAGAGGCCCTCTGGGACGTGTGACTGCACTGGGAAGAGTCATTTTAATAAGGAGTCCACAAGAACATCCTTCTTTATAAGTACTTATTCAGAAGCAATCCAGGGAGATAATAAAATGCTTTATCTGCAGCTTGACAAGCTGTATCCAGACTTAACTTGTTCTTCCTGATCATCTGGACAGAGAACCTGCTGTAGTATACGCCAAAGATTTTTTCCATCTTCCACAACAACACATGCCAGAGTTCAGTGCTGAAATGGAGTTGTTACTTGGCAGGCACCTGCACCTAGACCTGGGAACTGGGAAGTTCTCCTAATCTGTTAAAGTAGATGTAGTCATGGGGATTAGGTCTCACTTGGAAAATGACTTTGCTACCGTCGAGGACTTCATAGGGAACAGGCCTGTGGGTCCTTTTTCTGAGCCAACGTGACAGTCTTCAGCAGATAAGTGTTGATTTAGATCTTTTTCAGTCTCTGAAATCACTTGTAATATTGAACATCTGCGCAAAAAACTTCAGCTCTTCTGTTCCAGTAGCTAATGGTAGTAGCTTTAAAAGTAGAAAGCTTTTAGAGAGGTATCCAGTTAGAAACAGTAGAGCAGTGTCAAGTTTTTGGACAGAAATGACAGTGAGAAAATTCTGACCTAACTCAACTAAGGAGCTGAAATCCAATGGCTAGAGAGAAAAGTCATGTGTTTCTTTATCTGCAGGGAAGCAGAATTATAGGCAGGGAATAATGCTTTATAATTTTCTCAGCTTCTTCACTTATCTCATTTGCTTGTGTAATGAATATTTAAAGAAAACAACTTGGAAAGAGAGGAGGTCCTTTAATAATTATTTGGTTTTTTTGCATGAGAACACATCCTCTGCATAATTATTTTAGAACTGCCTTTTCCTGGGATACGTCATAAGAGACTATCTGTGGTGTGTCTTTGAAACTAAGTGTTATCTAGGAGGAAAGTAGGAGTTGACATGCCTTTTGTATGCTGATAAATGCCACTGTGCTTGTACTAGGTAGAACACAAATCTGCAAAAAGCAAGAGAATTGCCTGTAACAAACAGTAAAAGGTTTCTGATGTCTTGGAGAGAGGAAATATTTCTAGCTTTAGTGGTTTAGAAAATTATAACTTTGCTCTGTGTCAAGTTTTTCCTTTTTTTCATTCTATTCCATCCACATTCCTGGCCGTAGTATTTCAAAACATTGCAAGACTGTTGTGACATGGGGTGGCTAACAAGAACTTAGTAGTTAATGCAGCAGTTAGCATGGAAGGGGGTGCAGAAGGCACCCGACACTCAGAGACAGCTGGAGTGGGTGCAGTGATGCACCTGAAAGCATGCTCTTCTGCCCTGGTTGGAACGACTGCGCCTGGCATGTGGGAGGCTGGCCCAGACAGAGCTCCAGAGGAATGATGTGGCAGATGTTGGGCTGCAGGGAGTGACTAGTACTAGTGTGGGGCAGAGCATGATGCCACCATCTGTTGGGTTCTGCTGTGGTCAAGGTGCTGGGCTGCCAGGTGAAGTGACAGCAGGAGATGAGCAGGCTGCATAACTGTAGGGAACAGAAAGAGGAGATTGACAGGGTCTTTGCAGAGTAGAAGAACAGAAACAGGAGATTGACAGGGTCTTTGCAGAGTAGAAGAGCAGAAACCCCACATTGCGTGGAAGGAGGAACAGCTAGAAGCCATGCTCAAATAAGCGGTGGATAGAGACCCCTAAAATGGGGAGGAATGGAAGCTTGTGACTGCTGGCAACAGAAGGCAGGCTCGTTCTCTGCCTGCAGATGTGCATTTATAGGATAGGTATAGTGCCATGGTAACAGATAAGGAAGAACAAGCTCTGTCAGGGGAGGTGTTGGAGACAGATGAGCCTGAACCATTGTCGGCACTGGGAGGAAGTGGTGGGTGATAATGGCTGGAGACTCCCTCCTGTGGATGATGGAGGTACCCATCTGCAGTCTTGGCTTGATGTCTTGAGAGGTTTGTCACTTGCTGGGGACTCAGATCTAGCCTATTGTGGAGAGTCTGCTGAGGTTCGTCTGGATCTCGGGCTAGTACCTCTTGTTGCCCAACCACATGGGCACCCATGACATTGTGAGGGCAGACCTTGAGTTCATCAAGAGTGCTTACAGAGGGTGAAGGGTATGGGGGCCCAAGTAGTGCTCTTCTAAATTCTTCCAGTGAAAGGGAAGGGCTTGGGTAGGATCATGCACACCCTGCAGGTCAACACCTGAATGTGCAGTTGGTGTCCCTTTGGCCTTTGTCACTTTGTCTTTGGCCTTCATGACCTCTTTGACTTTCTCTGAGAAATGAGCATTGCTGAGCAGAAATGACAAAGTAGAGCAAGAGTATCTTTGCCAACCGGTTTGCTAAGCTAGTGAGGAGGGCTTTAAACTGGTTTCATTGGGGCATAGTGACCAAACTCAGAAGAGGAGTAGAGTCATGGGGACAGTGAGTACGTGTCTAGGGGACAGCAAAATGGAGGAAGCTCTCACAGTTTTCATGTGAAAGCAACATGACTGGGAGCCCATCTCAGATGCCTGTACATGAATACACCTAGCATAGGAAACAAACAGGAATCTGTGCATGGTTGCAGAGCTGTGATCTCACTGGGATTAGAGAGATGTGGTTGGCCTGACTAGAGTGCTGGAGTGGATGTATACAGGCCCCTTTTAGAAGGGCAAGCTGGGAGGACAAGGAGGACGAGTTGTGCTCTATGCAAAGGGGTGGCTTGAATGCATGGAGCTTTGCTCTGAAATGGGTCACAAGCCAGTTGAGAGCTCATGGGTAAGGTACAGAGGTCAGATCAACATGGATTACGTCATGGTGGGTGTCTGCTACAGACTGCCTGATGAAGTAGAGGAAGGAGATAGAGCCTTTTTTAGAGTGTTAGGGAAGCCCCGTGCTCACAGGTTCTGGTTACTGATGGAGCACTTGAACCACCCTGATACCTGCTGGCAACACAGCAGGGCATAAACAATCCAGGAGATTTCTGGAGAGTGTCGAGGACAGTTTTTTGATATGAGTTTTGGACAAGCCAGCTAGAGGTGATCTCTGCTGGACCTGCTGTGAATAGCAGCCTTGAATAGCTGCCTTGGTGGAAGTGGCCATGAGATTGTGGAATTTAAGATCGAGACAGGCAAGAAGGATGAGTAGTAGAATTATAATCTTTGATTTTAGGAAAGCAGATTTTGTCTTTTTTTATGGACCTGGTTGACAGGATCCCGTGGGAGACAAGCATGGAGAGCAAAAGGCCTTGGGAAAACTGGTTGATCTTTAAGGAAAATCTCCTCAAAGCGGGAGGTGCTTCCTGTTAACTGGAAAAAGTCAAACTACTCATCTTCAAAAAAAACAAGCAGGATTTAGGGAACTACAGGCTGGTCAGCCTCACTCCAGGAAAACTATGGAGCAAATCCTCACAGAAGCCATGAAAGACAGTAAGGTGATTGGGGAAGAAAACAGTGTGGATTTCATCCACATCATCCATATCCTGATCGCTGCCTTTGGTGAGATGACTCTGCCAATGGACAAGAGGAGAGCAGTGCATGCCATTTTCCTTAACTTTGCCAAGGCTTTTTACATGGTCTGCCATAGTATCCTTGTAGCCAGTTTGGAAAGATGTGGTTTGAACTGGTGAATGACAAGCTCGGTGGAAAACTGTCTGGAACATTTGTCTCAGAAAGTAGCAATCAACAATACAAAGCTGATCCGTTAACCACTTTTAGTGGCATCCCTGTCATGGTTTAACCCGGCAGGCAGCCAAACACCACACAACTGCTCCCACACAGTGGGACGGGGAGAGAATCGGAAGGGTAAGAGTGAGAAAAACTCGTGGGTTGAGATAAAGACAATTTAATAGAACAGAAAAGGAGGGGAATAAATTTAACTCTATCCCAGCTGAAACCAGGACAATCCCCCATGAGTCAATACAGGGGCAAAAACTGTTTAATGTCTCTTTTAACAACTTGGAGTGAAGTGCAATCTTTGTCAGATTGCAGATGATCTCAAATGGGGGGAGCGGGGTGCCTGGAGAGCAGCGCTGCTATTCAGAGGGATTTAACAGGTGAGGAAATGAGCTGACATGAACCTCATGAAGGTCACCAAGAGCTGATGCACAATCCTGCCCTGGGATGGAGTAACCCCATGGAGCAGTACAGGCTGGGACTAGCTGGCTGGAAAGCAGCTTTGCAGAAAAGGACCTGGGGGTAACAAGTTGTCCCTGAGTGAGAAGTGTGCCTTGAGGCAAGGAAGGCCAACCACACCCCCGGCTGTGTAACACAAGTGTAGCCAGCAGGCTGAGGGAGGTGCATCTTCCTCTTTATTAAGCCTTTGTGAGACCCCAGCAGGAGTCCTCTGCCCAGTTTTGAGCCCCCCAGGATGAGGAAGTCATCGATGTCCTGGAGCAAGTCCAGTGGAGGGCTGCCAAGGTGACTAGGGAGATGGGACACATGATGTGCAAGGAGAGGCTGAGAGGGCTGATTTTGCTCAGTGTTAAGAAGAGAAGGTTGAGATGGGTCTTACTGTAGTCTACACCCA